CTTTTGATGTAGATTTGCAACTTTATTAAAATACCTTTGTTGATAAGCATTCTTTTATGTTTCCTTAGAAACAACAATTAGTTTGTCAGCTGTAAAGCCCATTTGATCAATCATTCAGTACTTGTTTTAGCACCTATTCAATGCTCTGGGCTATGAAAGAGAAACAGCTCTAAAGACATAGAAACCTCTCTGTGCTCCATCATTATCTTCAAGTCTGCCAGTTTGTCACCTCTTCTTTCTTCTTCAGAAGGTAACTTTATGTCTTCCCACAGAGGCTAAAGTCTTCTGATGCATAACCTCTATCTCTAAGCCCATGTGCTGCTTTCATATCCACTGAAGGGAAAGAGCATTACCCTTTGTGAGCTAATGATGGTTGTTCTGCCAGTCTTGGTTTTATCTTATGATGCTTCACAAAGACTTGTCAGTTTCATTTTTCATTGAGTAGAATCTCTTTTTTCTCTACATATTTTCCTTTTCTAAAAATCAGCATATGAACATTGAAAAGCATCTTTTATTTTAGGTTGCATTTTAGCCACTGTATTGGTTTTCTTCTTTTGTGGTTGTAGCCTTTCATTAAATATTTTTGTGTCAGATATATTTTATTATATACTAATAAAAAATTAAAAAATAAGAAAGACATTTTTTCACATAATTTCTGTTGAGCGGTTTGCTTAAGAAGCTGTTCAACAACCTGACTTTTCATCCCATCTTTTAGTCTAATATAATTTTACTTCTTTTCTAATTCTTTGAAATTATTCTGGCAAAAATCACCCTGACTGCTGAATATTTGACTCTTGAACATTGTCCTGGTGTTACTAGTTTTCTGACATATCTCTGTGGGTTTCTGCTTTTTGTATATGTATTATGTTGGTATCACCCAGACTCTTCAAAGATAAATAACTCTTTGATTCTTGGAGTTGTAAAAACAAAATTTTGTTGTTATTAAGTCCCAGGCATGTTGAATTTTTAATTGCTGATATTCTTTACTCATATCAGAGACTATTAAGAGAGATGTGATAGAGGTCAGCTGACTAACCAGCCATACATGGTTTATCATTTATGGTGGGACTCATCATCATTTTGGGTCTAGCTTTCACATTCAGACCTACAAAATGGCCTTTGTTAGTGTACTGCTGGACACTTCAGGATAGTCTGATATTCACTATGTGTATAAGAGATAGAAGTGTTCTAAAGAATCTCATTTCTTTAAATTAATGGATAAGGCATCCTCTCAACTGTTAAGCTAGATGAAGATTGAATTTAGTAACTCAGTTTCTTGAAATCATAATAGAGGAATTGTTTTAAAGGAAAATCTAATAAAAACTATTCCTGTCCCCAGACGTTTTCATTTATCTTGCTAAATTGTGAAACGACAGACTCATAAATTTAAACTACCAAATTCTGTTTCTTTATAGATTCTGTTTTGAACATATTTTGTTTAACACTTTGTTCATACTTGAAATTAATAAGTTGATATATTGAGTTCCTCTTTTCTTAATTGTAGTTGATTCTTAGTCATTTTCTGAAACCCTGCCCATGTCTTAATTATAATTGAGTCACAGGTTCACTGACGGTCTCAGTATTTCTGAGACACCTAATTTCATCCAATTTTCTTAATAGAATTACTTTTAGAAATGTAGTATTTAAGAAATACTTTATTTCTGTGTCTGTTTGGTCTTGTAACTATGTGCTAATCAGCTGGATTTCTGTTGTACAGTTAGAAATATATAAACTTTACTAGTATTTTTAACCCTTGGGACTTGTAGAAACATTGTGAATTGGCGATCTTAATCTTTACTAGAAGAACATTAATTTTCTGATCCAAGCAATAAAAACTATCATTTTATTCCACGTAGTTTTCTTTCATACGGTGACGTACCATATATGTTAATTCAGCCTTTTTTGAACATTCATTAACGTCAGTAAATGTAGTTGGTATGGGAAATAAGTAAGATAGCTGCTGGACTTTATAATCATGGATTCTTCAGGAGTACAACCTTAGAAGTCTTCAATAACTTTTCCGTTAGGCCAGTGGTAGTAGAGGTATATAGTATTTGAATATTATAGTTTTAACTTTTTGTCTTGTTCTTAAAGATGTTTATTTTTATGGTACCTGAGACTATCAAAACATTCTAGCTGGTCATAGTGACCTGCACATTTAATCCCAGCTATTCAGGAGGCTATAGTGGGAGAATTGCTTAGGCCCACAAATTTGAGACCACCCTGGGAACCATAGTGAGACCCTGTCTCAAAATGAAAGTAAAAAAAAAAAATTCTAGTTCATCACTTCTATTGTTTAGATCTTTATTGATTTGAAGGTGTTGAATGTCGAATAGTAGATTTGTAATTTTTTTGTGAATTTGACAACAGGTTGCACTTCCTGCAGATGAAGATTATTTACCACTTAAACCTCGAATTGGGAAAGCTGCAAAGGTTTGTTCGTTGTGTGTGTGTTTGTTGGTTTGTTTTGGTATCAGGAATCAAACTCAGGATCTTGCAGTTGCCAGGAAGGTGCTGTGCCGGTGAACTACATCCCAAGCATGTACTTTGTATTCAGAGTTTTGTGAGACTTTTAGAAATCTTAAAAATTTTTCAAATGAAATTTGTAAATTTCCAGTGTGACTTTGCCAGCAAGATGTCAACTACAAAATTATAGTAAAAACCAAATTAGTAAACAACCATGCTGGAAAGCAAGTATCATATGATGAGAGATTCAAACCTTAAAATAATGATTTTCAACTTGGTAGAATTTAAGGAAAGTTATCCTTACTGTTAAAAAATAAATGCACATACAAATTTTTCTTGTACCTTTAAGGTCCAACTTATTATTTAATGTGTATACAACTATAATTGAAAGATTAAATAATAGAACTAACACCTGTGATGTCTATAAAAACATATTTTTTTTTCTTAATTTTCCCTAGTGGGCGGTACGTATCCTGTATAAAATCACAAAGTATGCTAAAAGAGTGCTTTTTTTTTTTTTAACTTGGAATGTGAAATAGCTATGTATTTTTCATACAATAATTAATATTTTTGTTTTTATAGGAATACCCATTTATACTTGATGCTTTTCAAAGAGAAGCCATTCAGTGTGTTGATAATAACCAGTCTGTTTTAGTATCTGCTCATACTTCAGCGGGAAAAACTGTATGTGCTGAGTAAGTGACTTTCTTTTTAATGAAATGTTAAAAATTTAATTTATTAATGGGCGTGGTGGCACACTGCCTGTAATTTCAGAACTTGGAAGACTGAAGCAAAAGAATGTCTGCATGTTTGAGCCCCACCTGGGCTACATTGTGAGTTGAAGTCCAGCTTGACTTGAACTATATACCCTGTCTCAAAACAACAAATAAAAAATCAATGTATTGTGTTGTCTGTAAAAATTTCTATTTTTTGGTTTGATTTATATAAATAAAGCTGGTTATGCTTATGTCTTTATATTTAGTAGGTATCTTTAATTTTTTTTTCTGAATCTACTAATCTATTTAGGACCTTTAGTATATTGTTTAAATAGGAATTATGAGAGAAAGCATCCTTGCTTGATCCCTGATATTAGAGAAAATATACTATCTTTCATCATTAAATCTGTCTTTTATAGGTGCTTTTTATCAGCTTGAAAAAGATTCATAGTATTTTTAGTTTGCACAGATTATGTGTATGCATATAAAATATTTAGATACAGATTGAAGTGATTGTTTTGCTCTGCTAATGTGACAAAACATGTTGATTGATTTTAAATGAATAGTTCTGAGATAAATTGCATTTGGTCATGATATATAAATGTATTACTGTATTGAATTTCTGAAAAATTTTTAAAGAATTTTATAGTTTGCATTCCTGGAGTTTATTGCTTTTGTAGTTTTATTTTGTTGTTGTTGTTTGTTTTTTTTCTGGTTTTAGTATCAGGGCAATCTTTGCTTCTCTTTTTTTTTTTGTTGATCTGGCTTGAGTTCTCAGTATTACCTTTTAAAAAGTCCAGCTCATTTTTTTTTTAAATTGGTTTTCATTTTGATCTTTTCTTTCACTTACTGTGTGCTTTCATTGAGGTAAAACAACTCACTGGTGAGGTAAAAGTGAAGTAATTGTTTTGAGACCCTTTTTTCTAACAGGCATTTGATGGCTAAAGTTTGCCTTTAATATATATGATATTTTTTAAGTAAATAATCTATCATGATAAGTTATATTTGATCTAGGTTTTTTAAAATTTTATTTTAAAGAGGGTAAAATTAAACAGACCATAAGAAAACAATGTAACAGACACAGATTTCAAAGCACGACAACCAGAGATCTTCACCGTCTATCACATTGTCTCTTGTTTTCTTCCCAACAGTGGTCCATATCTTTGCATACAATGAATACATACAAAACAAAATACTATAAAACTGATCAGAACAGGATGATGAAGGCATTTTAGTTCTTTTTTGTCTTTTTTTTTGAGACAGGGACTCTATGTGCTTTGAGCAGGCCTTGAGCTCACTTTGTAGCCCAGGCTGGTTTTGATCTCGCAGTGATCCTCCTGCCTCAGCCTCCTGAGTGCTGGAATTACAGGCGTGAGCCACACCGCTCGGCTCTAGGCATTTTAGTTCTTCAAGACCAGACAACAGAGATGTCAACAATGGTTGTCATAGTGTCGCTCATTCTCTTCAAAATAGCTATCCATACCTTCATGTATGTTGAAATTAAACCAAACAAAACAGACTAAAATCACTCTGAACAAAGAATAATAGTATTGCTGGATTTCACATGATGCTATGGAATCGGCACTGGCTAACTTAGTGTCTCTTTGTCTTCACAGTAGCTGTTCATTGCATTGTACATTATATAATCGATACTCATAAAGTTTTTGGAAGTTCTACATATGCATGAGTCTCTACATCTATACCTATTCTTTCTATATTAGAGGGAAAAACAAGACAAATTCCTAGAAAAACATGAAGCAAAAAAGACATAAGCAACAATAGCAGAAAGCCCAGAACACTGACAATATAGACCTTCAAAAAAATATGGAATGCTTCACGAATTTGCATGTCATCCTTGCGCAGGGGCCATGCTAATCTTCTCTGTATCGTTCCAGTTTTAGCATATGTGCTGCTGAAGTGAACACTAAGTTTTTGTATATCTTTTTCCTTCTGCATAAAAAAATTTCTTTAACATTTGTTGTAGAACAAATCTCCTGATGAGAAATTTTTTTTAAAGATTTCTACATATTAAAAATTCTTATGTTTTCTTGTCTTTCTTTTCTTTTTTCTTTCTTTCTTTCTTTTTTTTTTTTGTGACAAGATGTTGTGCAATTCAGGCCTTAAAATTACTTTGTAACCTCAAACAAGCAGCCATCCTCCTGTCTCAGCCTCCTGAGTTCTGGGATTACATGCATGCACTCCCATGCCTGGTTTTTCAGTTTTGAAAGGTGTTTTCCTTAGGGTTGAGATCTTTTTTTTTTTTTTTTCTTCTTTTTTCTTTTTTATCGGTACTGGGGATCGAACTCACGACTGCCTGCTTGCAAGGCAGGTACTTATGCCGCTGAGCTAAACCTCCAGCCCTGAGGTCAGACTTTTTAAGGATTATCTTTTGACTTATATCATTTTTTTTTTTATTTTATTCATACATGTTAGCAGTACATAGTGATTCTTACATTTCCTTGTGGGAATTTGGGCCATGTACATAACATCTTAATTCTTGTTACACACACACACCCCCCACACACATACACCATCTTGCATCATTTATAACAAGCAATCTATTACAGCCCTTACTATTGTTCCTTCATGTGTAATAATGTCTTTCCCTCTGACTGTTTTTTAAGATTTTGAATCGTGATTCAAGCAGCCTGTTTATGCTATATTGTAGTATAGCATTTTTCTGTGTCTTTGTGCATTGGGTTTGTTTTGCTCCCATGGTCCGCCTTTGGGGACTGTGTACTTATATTATGCCACCCAAGGGTATCCGATAACTCACTAATTATGTGTTACTATTTTTTTTTATTTTATTTAAGGAGAAAAAAGAAAAAAAAAAACAGAAAAAGGGTACAAGTTATACAGAATTTCAGAAAAAATAAACAGTAGGAAATCACTAGTTAATTACATATTGTCATCTTAGAAATAGTTGTTCAAGTTACAAAATTAAAGCATATACAGGGGACTTTCAAACAGTGAGATTGGAAACAATTTTGTTTAATGATCCAGTAAAACTCAGTAATATGATTATCGATCTTATACACTTAAATATATATGCAGTTATATCCTTTAGTGCACTTTCTTTTTCTTTCTTTTGTACAATGACAATTACACATTTTGGGTTTTATTACTCCCACAGTTCTTATTACTTTTTTTCTTGGAAGAAAGTAAAACTAAATGTGACATAACAGGACAGAGTCAGTCAAATCAAAAGGATGGACATAATACATAATACAAAAACAAAATACAAGGTGATCAACAATGGTTACCATAATGCCTCTTGTTATCTTAAAAAGAATTGCCTATATCATCAGTTATAATAAAATTGAACAAAACAGTAAAGAATAAGACCAATAAAACCAAAACATTGGAGGCATTAGAGGACTTCAAAAGAAGATAATAGTCAACCAGAATGGGCATCACAATGAATCTTATTTTCTTCATAGTTGTTGCCTATACTTTGAAACTCAGTACTATCAAGCATAACAGAATAGAGGAAAATCAGTCAAAACAAGATGGTGAGAGCAATACAGGGTTTCAAATCAAGTTAATAGGAAATCAAAGTGGGTTACTATAATATATCCTGCTATTTTTTATTTATTTTTCCCTTAATTAAAAGGAAATGAAAAAATAAAAAACTAGATAACAAAAAGGAGATTGAGATAAAAAAGAGGGCATAACAACAAAACAGCACAGGTCAAAACATAGCCATTTAAGCAAAATAGTGTTTCACCACAAGATAATCTCGACATAAAAATAGTTACCATAGTGTCTATAACTTCATATACTGTAGCATCAAACATATTAAGGCAATGTAAAAACCGTTCAAGAGAATGACAGTATTACAAGGTATTTAGAATCAACTAACAGAAAATGAACAATGGTTTCTGTATGATCTCCTTGACTATAAAAGTTTTTGTTTATATTATCACATATAATAAAATCCAATAAGATATAACAGGTTAGAACCGATGGAGACAGAAGAACAAAAGCTTGATGGGACTTCAAAACAAGAGGATACTAAATCAGCACTACCTCTTATTATGTCTTATTTTCTCCAAAATGGCTGTTCCTACCATCCAACCTTCTCTGCCTCATTTCTCTTGAGCTCTTTTTCTGTCATTAGTTGTCAGATTGTCTTCTTCATTTCGCTTTCTGCTCCATTCATTGTGTCCTCGCTGTCACTGTTTCTGGAATGTTGGTATTTTTCATTGTTAGAATATCCTGCAGTAATCTCTTTTTTTGTTTGTTTGTTTGTTTTGTTTTTAAATCTCTGTAGAGTTGAATTGGTGGTTGCAAATTCCCCTCGTTCCTCTTTATCCTGGAAGCACCTTGTTTTTGCATCAATTTCCAGAGACAGTTGTGCAGGATATATCAATCTTTCAAAGCTTGAATTATTTCCCCCCACGCTCTTCGTGATTTGATGGTTTGTGCCGAGAAGTCTGCTGTAATTTTGATGGGTGTTTCTTTTTAAGTGATCTGTTTCTTATCTCTGACGGCTTTTAATATTCTGTTCTTATACTGGATTTCTGGAATTTTGATTATTATATGCCTAGGTGTAGCTCTGTTTGGGTTGTAGGTGGCTGGGTCCTGTATGCTTCATACATCTGAGTATCTTTACCTTTTGCTAAATTAGGGAAATTCTCCTGGATTATTTCTGTGAATAGCTTTTGTAGTTCATTTGTTTGTGTCCCTACTTCTTCTTTTATGTTCTTAATTCTTAAGTTATAGATCCTCTTATCATCTTCTAGCCTTTGAATTATTGCTGTTTGTTTTCTTGTTATTTTTAAGAAGTTTTTCATTTCATGCTCCCACCTTACAAATCTGTCCTCCAGTTCTGATAATCTGTCCTTAGTTTATTTCAAGCTGTTATGCCAGATTTCAGTAGAGTTTTTAGTTTCCTGGTAATCTCTTTGAATCTGCTTCATGGATTCTGTTTTCTCTATTTTCTCCATCAAACAATTCTCCTCTTTTTTTCTGTTCTTCCATTCCACCATCTGTTTTTTCTTGGGAGGTGCTTAGCATTTCTCTCACTATTCTACTTATTTCTTGCTTTATTTCATTAATTAAACTTCATTTTTGAACTTGTCTATGAGGCTCCGGAGATACCGCTTTATGTCTATTGGTGCTGCGTCTGATATTGCATGTTTTCTGTCTTCATTCTCTTTTGCATTTATCTTTCCTGGATCAGTATTCTCAGGATTGGGGACTGAGGACCCTTTCTTGTTGCTCCCTTCCTCATACTTTTTATTCCTTCCATATAAGCGTATGTAGGAGGCCCAGTTTTTTTTTTTTCCTCTTTGTCTGTTACAGTTTGTTTGAATTCGCCAGCTAGGTATTCTCACCCACTGCAGTGTACTAGGGAGACACAGACCTGGGCAGCCTCTGCTGGGCCTGTTCCTCTAGATCAACCTACTGAAGGCTTCACTGCTAGGGTGCACTGCCAGGTGCAGGGACCTGATTTGGGCTAGCCTACTGGATCTTAGTCTGCGATGTCACCAGGCCAAGCGTTCCCCACCAATCCCGCTTGAGAGGGGAATATGTGACTAAAGTCACTGCAGGGCCCTGTTCTGGCTAATCTGCCCGTTCCCAGAATGTCCTCTGTTGGAGCCTCCTAGTCTATGAAAGGGTCCCCATTTCTCTCACTCACCACAGGTCGATGCAGGGCCCCCTGCCAGTCTATTTTTCTAATGAGTTTCGTTTTCAAATCATTTTTAATGCTGCATTTTCAAATTCACTAATCTTCTGAATTATTGTCTGCATTTAATCTCATTGTATGCATTTTTTAAAAAATCTCAGACATCTTTTTTTTTTTTGCTGGAAGTCCCATTTTGTTTATTTTTGGTGCTGATCATAATCCTTTAAAACATATTGTGAAAGGTGGGCATTTCTTGTGCACTACCTTGGTGCTGTTATCCATAATTTGCTGCTATAATGTATGAAATTTTATCCTCTTGTATTTTAAATTGTCACCATCATGCTTTACAATCTGCAGTACTGTGTATTTTGTCTTTACATAATTTCTAGTTCTAGATGATAAATTGAAGACTTTGAGATCTCTAATTCACCTTATGAATTTTTTGCAGATTTAATATATAAAAGTACATTATAAAATTTGACTGTTCAAGAGTTGTATAAAAACATAAAAATATGTTGAAGAGATACACTTTTTTTGAACATCTGCACTTATGAAAGAAAAATATCATTTCTTTGGGCAAATGCATATGTAGTGGCAATCTATCAGCTTTTGGTAGATTTTATCAAGATTAAGTTTTTCATGGTATTTCAGATGACTGCAATTGTAAAGCTGGATGCAGACAACTGCCAACCATAGTGTCTTGGTTACTTTTCTCTTATTGCTGAGACTGCCAAAATTAGGGAAGGGAAGATTTATTTAGCTTACAATTTTTGGAGGTTTCAGTCCATACTCAGCTGGCTCCAAGGCTGGCGTGGCTAAAGGGCAACTACAAGCAACAAGCGCAAACTGTAAAAAAGGAGGAAAGCTTGCCTCTTTTCCTTCCTTTTATATTGAATGCGGGTACCCACCCCTAGGGTTGCAGCACTCACACCACCCATCCTAGTGCTAGGCAATGAACCAATCACAAACACTAGCAGCCTACCTCCCATGACCCCATAAGGCTTTGGGGGTTTTCTAAACAAACCACAATACATAGTGGTATGTATTTCTGCATTTGGCTACCCACTTGCCTGCCTGCCTGCCTGCCTTTCTCTCTCTCTCTCTTTCTTTCTCTCTCTGTCTCTGTCTGTCTCTCAGTATTGGTGTTTGAAGCTAGGGCCTTTCATTGAGTTATACCTCCAACAGTATCTTGCTGAGTTGCACAGGTTTGGCTTGATTTCCGACGTTAGCCTCCCAAAGTACTGCAATTACAGGGCTGGGTATATTTGGCCTCCTGACCTGTTTCTTTCTTTC